GTCACCAGCAAGGCCAGCAGAAGCAGGGTCCCCTTCATGGTGGAGAGTGCTGAATGCTCTTCTCAGAGCAGATCCTGCTGCCTTATAAGCTGCTGTCTCCCTGAGCCAGTCCCTCCCACCCCATCCCTCCCAACCCCAACCCTGCCTCCCAGGAGTTCCAAATGCCTTTGGCAAGAGTCTGGCGCCTGTGGATTCCTGTCCCTCTTGCATGGGGGAGTGAGCATAGGAGCCCCTCCCACTCTGAAGAACAAAAGCCTGGACACATCACAATGTCATCAGTTTCTGGACAGAAGTGGTTGTAGCTTTGCCAGAAAACGTTAGGACTGACCTTTCTAAGCAGCCACATGCTGAGCCAAGTGCCCTAGTCCTGCCCCAACTGTCACCTCTGCTTCCTGGTCACACTCCTCCTCACTGCTTCTGGCTGCAAGCATGACCTCTTCAGCTTTGAGGTGGAAACCCAGGGGTCAAGGAGGGTTTCTGTCACTGTAGGCAGCCAACAGCCCACAACACTGCTTTTGCCTGACTAGAGCAGAAGCGTGGGAATCTGGGGGCCATACTGTGTCCCTGGATTAGACCTCTCAGGACAGGGGACACCATCTGAGGCTTTGAGTGAGTGGCACCCAGGGTGGTCTCAGCATGTTAGGTCATGTGGGTATCCTTGGGGGCTGGTGGTGTTTTTGTCCCCTCAACTGCATCCTGCTGCCATTCCCCCCTCACTGGCACGGTAGCTCGTTCCTGTTGTCCTGCTCTTGTCTTTCTCTCCTCTACCAGGAAGCAGCTCTCTAACAGTTCAAAGAGTAGAGTCCATGTGGAGGGATTCGTCCCTGTACCATGAACTCTCCCTTTACCCGGGCAGTGCTGTGTGTATGGACAGTCTCAAGTTCAAATCAACCTACTTCCCTCAGATAGACATTTGTGTCACCATGGAAACAAAGCTCTGTCAGTGTGGGGTTTTAGGCCAGGTTAATTGATGCAGGCTTTCCTCACTTTATCTGGGCAGTGTGGACCAGGGTCTGTATGGAGTGGAAAGGAGAAAGCAGCCTGGGCCTTCATGTCTCTCTACTACCTGATTCTCGATGTGATCAACCAAGACAAGTTCCTGCACCCCGCCATGATGGACTGAATCCCTTCAAACTGTAAGCACAATGTCGTTCCTGCTCTGGGATTTTGTACTAGTTCACTAATACCTCACAGCAGTATATTTTAGCATGTGGACGGCCCTGAACTTAATCCTTAGCACCACACACAAATGGTCATGGCTAAGGAGATGGTTCAGTGGGTGAAGTACTCAGTATGCAAACCCAAGGACCTGAGTTCAGATCCCAGGACCCCTGCATAGAGGTGAGTGTGGTGGCATCCACCACTAATCCCCCAAAGCTCCAGGTTCAACACAAGAACTTGCCTCAGATATTAGGGTGGAAGGCTGTGGAGATAGCTCAGTAATTAAAGTTTCTCACAGGGAAGCCTGATGACCTGAGCTAAAATCCCAGAACCCACAACAGAACTGTCTCCTGATAATTGTCCTCAGACACACTATCTCTGTCTTTCTGTCTGTCTTTCTGTCTGTCTGTCTCTCTCTCTCTCTCT